CTACGCTACCAGAGCTCCTTATGAGGTCTAGTAGCCTTTTTACTGAGTCTTTGGGGTTTTCTATGTATAGGAACCCCATATCATCTGCAAACAGGGAGAGTTTTACTACCTCTTTGCAAATTTGGATGCCTTTAATTTCCCTGTCTTGCCATATAGCTCTTGCTCATCCTATTAGTCTTAAAATGAGCCATCACATGCCTGAAAGGCTCCTCTCACTACCAGAAGAGCCATGAGTAGAGCATGTCCTTTGGACCTCAGATGCATTTGCTGAACTCCTTGATGAAGGAGACAACTGTGACACTGAAGACAGCAAGAGATGGAGAAAACCTGCAGCAGAAGAACCGTCATGGCAGAACCAAGATGCTGGCATGAGACAGAGCATTGGGCTTCTCAGCTTACAAAGCTAGAAAACCGAGGGTAGGAGGCTTGCTAACAGAGTAGGGTGCTTCTGGGCACTTAATTGGCAAAACTGAAAAACGTCACTTGCACAAATACACAAAGGCCAGGCTCAGGGCCAGAGACAGGCCTTCCTGCAGGCATGGCTGATAAAGGCTGTTGTGATTGAAGTACTGAATTCTGAGTAGTATTTTGTGTGGTGCTGTGGGTTAATGCATTGGACAGCAACGTCGGTTTGAACTTATAAGGTCGTCTCTGGTTCAGGCTCACCAGGCATTCCTTGGAAATCCTATACAGGGCCATTGTGGGTCGGAACTGACTCGATGGCACTTAACGATAACTCTTCCCTAATACACTCGATAATCATGTGTATTGTTTGTGAGTTCTGTGTGGCCGCTGCAATGCATTATCAAATCCAACAGAATAGTAAAGAGTGTTGTGGGAGGAACGTTTGGCGTCACAATTGGTAAAAAGATTGGATGGTGAAGCATGTCTAATTTCTGCCTCATAGAAATAGGCCCTGAGCGGACAAAATCAATGATCTTGATTTTCCTCCATCACCCTTGTGAACTTTGAAGAGGTCGGAGGTCATTTCCATGTCTTCTGAACAACAGGTTATTTTGAAGTAGTTATTTTGTTTAAATTAAATATTGCAGTTTGTAACTCTAAAAGAGAATGACTCTAACATCATCACAAAGTTATCACAGCTACAAAAGTAACATGGTTGTTATTACTTGCCATCTAGTTGGTTCTTACTCCTAGTGACCCTATGCACAACAGAATAAAATACTTCATAGTTGTTACACTTGAGCCAATTGTTGCTGCCACTGTGCCATTCTATCTCATTGGGGGGCGGGGGTGTCTTCCTCTTGTGTTCACCCTCCATTTTACCAACTATGATATCTTTCTTCAGAGACTGGTCCCTCCTGTCCAAAGTATAAGAGACAAAGCCTTGTCCTACTGGCTTCTATGGAGCATTCTATTATCTAATTATATACCATGCAGATTTTCTTGATTGTTTCATAATGTTCTATAAATCAGGATTTAGAGAATAAGCACTGGACTTCTAGCTGCAAGGTCAGTTATTCAAACCCATCAACTGCTCCTTGCAAACCCTGTGCAGGGTCACTATGAATCAGTACCAAATTGAAGGTACTTCAACAACAACAACAAAAAAGAAACCCTATATGGTGAATTATCTTAAGGTATGCAAAGGGGCTTCAAAACTTTATGGAAAAATTTCATTGTCTTTACATTACATTTATTCGGGAACTATTTGAAGTCCCCTCATAATCTACAAAGAAAAGAGAGAACCAATTCCTAATTTTTCTTTTACTTGGTGCATGTGACAAAATGAGTTAACAAATCTGAGACTGCTGTCCTTCAGTCTGCATGATGGGTCCTTGGGTAGTATTTGGGAACTTGGATTTTTAGGTGGGTTCTCACCATTACCCAAACTGATCAAAGTGGCTCATGTGCCTAAATTGTGAAAGCAAAATGGTTTATTGCTACACACCTACTTACCTTCTGAGAATCTGCATTTTAGAACATGCTAGAGGATGCTCCAGTAAAAACCTTGAGCAATCAGTCTATTAATCTTTCCATTGTAGACATTTCAGGTGTTTCAAAACCAGGGGAATTAAGTGCAGTCCTTGTGATTCAGTGGGGAAAAGCCTCTTTGAAGCTGGTGTCTTGTTTTATCCGGACAGTGGTTCCATGCCCTTGCTTCCTTTGTTGTTTGGCTTTGTGTCTTTTCACTGTAATTAATCATAGTTGTGAATATGGCTACATGCTGAGTCATGTGAGTCCTCATAGAGAATCATCAAATTTAAGATGGTATATACGTTGCAACTCGACGGCACTTAACAACAACAACAAATACATTGCCCATATACCTATGGGATGGATTTTATTTTAAATTGACTTTTTAGAAGTTCATTGTGTATTTTGTGTTCCTTATTTGTTGGGCACATGTGTTTTAGTCACCTGTCTTTTCACATCATTTAATGTCTTTTTTTTTTTTCCATTATGAAATCTTTTAGCTATAGATGTAGTAAAATTAATTAATCCTTTCCATTACTGTTTGTACTTTTATGACTTGGTAATTGATGCCCACTGACTGAATTACCTTCCTACCCAAAGATTGTAAGTTGTCCTACACTTTATTCCAAAAGTATTCAAGTTTGATTTTCATAGTTTTGGACTTTCATCCACGTTCTTTTGTTTTAAAAACCTAGTGTCTGCAGTAACATTTATGGAATCACTTATTTATAATCTATATGTGCTTTAATGCATCATGTTTCAAAATTCGTATGAATCTTCTCAAGAGCTTTCTAGTCTGTTTTCAAACTTTAATGTGCATACGAAGGTTAAGTCCAAAACTATTGCTACTAGGATACCAATTCTTGCACCACACAGGTT